AGCAATTACCCCGCTGTACTCAGAGTATTTTAGGAGCTGGCGGGCAGGCAGCCTGGCTCAGTCCTGGCTTGTGCTAGGTCCCGGGAGCTACCCCCTCTGTGGCTCTGCAAGGAAAGTTTTATTTCAGAGCCACAACGGGGCATAGCTGCCAGGACCCGGCGCAAGCTGGGACTGAGCTGGGATGCCTGCCTGCCAGCTCCTAAAATACTATTAATGCAGAGCCGCAGCCGGGGTAGCCCTCAGGACTTGGTGTGAGCCGGGACTGAGCCAGGCTGCTGGCCAGCCCTCTAAAAATGTACTGGCATTGCTGAGGGAGGATGCATGGAGTTGGTAGTATTAACTGATAAGCTTTTGCTTATCGGTTAAACATTTGACTGATTACACTATTATATCCCTAGTCAAGATCCAAGCCAGGGGCAGCGAGCTGTGCTCAGACAACGTCTCAGCAACCAGAACTCATGACCGGGTGTGCACAGAACACACCACCTTGCATTGCTCACCATGAGACCAGCATGAAGAGCCCATGTCTAGGCAGAGGGATGAGGCCCATTCCCTAGAGAGCACAGAGTAGACCCTGGAACTGCACTCACAAGAGGCATTGTACCAGTTTTAGGATATCAGTAAAAAAATAACTATCACCTCCTTGGTTGGCATGGTTAGACGAGTACAAAATCTGCATGAAGATCAGGCCTAAGAATGAAAAGTCTTTCCGACTCTGCTCTTATCATGTGGTATTCTCATGATTTGCCACAGTGATTTCCTGCTGCAGGGAGTTCCACAGCTACTGGTGCGTTGCATAGAAACAAGGCTCCTTACTTGGGAAACTCGAACAATGTGCTGCAGAGGTTAGAGCTTGCAATAGTTTTTCTCTTATCATTACACTGCCAACCCTGAGGTACTTATCTTCAGTTACCAGTCTCTCATACTGAATTTATACAGCTCCATTCCTCTGACATCTGAGTGCCTTCCAATCTTCATGCATTTATCACTCCACCTCCCCAGTGCCGTCCCGGAAATCACCAGAAAACCAAGGTTAAAACCCAGCAACTCAGAGCTATAAAATTCCCTGACTTTATTAATATGGTGACAGCGTTTCACGTAGCCGGTGCCAACTGGAGATAAATGGCAGCGAAGAAATTAAAGGAGGGGGCACTGAGTCACTGAATGGAACAATTTAATTTCTGCCTTCTTCTCTCTCGGCTTATTGCCTAATGGAGCCCTCTCCTTCCCTGGGAGCCGTAAAGAGCAAACATAGTTAGCACTAGAGTCAGGGAATGGGAAGAACTCACACTGCCAAAGTTGGGTTATGCGAGTATTGGGATGAATGGTCTAATGACTCTATGTCAGCCCTGTCCTCTGCTGGGTAGGATGGGAACTGCCCAGCTGTGTGTCATAGATCTTGTACTGTGGGCAGCTGCTGGAGATTCTCCTCTACTGCATGATGAAGGAGCTTGTGCTTCTGGGGCAGGAGGATGTATTGGCATCAGAAAAGGTTCAGAAAAGGCAACAAACCTGATTAGGGGTTTGGAATAAGTGCCATACAAAGAAAGATTAAAAAGATTAGGACTTTTCAGCTTAGAAAAGAGGAGACCACGAGGGGATATGACAGAAGTCTCTAAAATCATGACTGGTGAGGAGAAAGTGATTAAGGAAAAGATATTGTTCCCATTACATAAGAACTAGTGGTCGACAAATGAAATAATAAGTATCAGGTTTAAAACAAACAAAAATAAGTTTTTCTTTACACAGTGCACAGCCAACCTATGGAACTCCTTGCCAGAGGATGTTGTGAAGACCAGGAATTTAACAGGGTTCAAAAAAGAATTAGAAAAATTCTTAGAGGTTAGGTCCATCAATACTTATTAGCCAAGTTGGGCAGGAATGGTGTCCCTAGCCTCTGTTTGTCAGAGGCTGGGAATGGGAGACAGAAGAGGTATCACCTGGTACCTGTTCTGTTCACTCCCTCTGGGGCATCTGGCATTGGCCACTGTCGGCAGACAGGATACTGGGCTAGATGAAGCTTTGGTCTGACCCAGTGTGGCCGTTCTTATGATGTAGGTTTTAGTGCCAGCAAAAGGTGCGGGGGGGTCTGAAGATCTTGCAGAGCAGAGCTGAAGCAGTGGCATGTCCCCGACATGCTGCCCAGCTAATTCTAGCTGCACATGGGGACAGCAGGCCATCTGTTCGGCACTAGCTCTGTTGCTTTCAGAACGGAACAAACTGCATTTCTCCCCAGCCTGCTCGTCCACTGAACCAGCATCCCCTGGGCATTTTAATCCCCTCTCCCCTCCCCACCCTGTGGGGGCCACAATTCTTTGTTTTGGCATCACAATTTGTTGCCACAGAGACAACGAGGTCACAAAAAGCAGAGGACTAGGATGCCTAAGCAACAAGGCGCCTGTTTCCATGCTCCTGCCGATGCACATAGTAAATAAAAAATCCAGGGCACGGCCCCCTTTCTGTCCCTGCTCTCCATCCATCTGTCCATGCCATATTTAGGATGGGCATGACTGGCACACCCAGGCACTGGAATGTTTTCCCAAGCTGTCTGCGATGCAGAGATCTTTAGCAGGGCTAAAGAATTAATGGAAAATCCAGTGCTGCCCTACAGGGGGCGGTCTTTCCCTTCCAGGAAAATCAGCTGCCACGCTGCACCCCAGAGGTGGTTGCCTTTCAGTGGTGGGTGAAGTGAAACTTGTACACATGGGGCCAGGGCCGGCTCGAGCCATTCCTGCACCCTGGGCAGTGGGCGCACGGCGCATGCGCGGCCCCGCCCCCGGCATGCTGAACGCCTTATAGCTGCAATCGGCACGCGGCGCCCCTAACATCTGCCATCGGGCACCCCCCCATAGCTTGGTGCCCCGGCAGCTGCCTGGCTAGCCCCCTCCGTAATCCGGCCCTGCATGGGGCAAACTCTGCCCCCCTTGCTGGGTTCTACTCCAGCTCTAGTGCGTGAGTTTTGGGTAAGTCACATCCCTTTTCCGGGCCTCAGTTTCCCTGTCTGTTAAAAAGGGGAGAGCAGTACTACGGACTGACGTTACAGAGTCTGAGCGCTGTTCAGATCCCCCGCTGATGGGAGCCTCAGATTTACCAAGGGCTGCCAGCAGCTGGAAAAGGACCCACCGAGCAGGAATCCTGCAGGAGGCTGTGGATTAGCGAACAGCTGTTCATCGGGCCCCTGTGATGGCCAGGCCTGGAATAGCAGAGGGTGGAGCTGAAGACCAGGACTGAGAGGCACTGGCTGGGCCGTGCGGGAAGTTTGTCCAGTGCTCACTCACTGTCCCTAGGGCGCTGCCTCAGCCTTCACTCCCATTAGTTGTAAATTCCCTTGCAGATGGAAAAATCAATCAAACAAACAATTCCCGGTGACAGGCAAACGGGGGGGCAAGTGCTGTGTCTGTAACTCTGCCCCTGCTCCATTGGATCAGCTCGCGAGGGATTTCATGCTACAGGCGGTCAGCAGCGGGGTGAGCGAGAGGAATTAAAATGCCTAAACGCAGCTTTGTTCCGACTCCATTGATCGCTGGCTAATGGGCTACTCAGCAAGCTGGTTGCTTCCTAACGAACTCCCACCCAGGCTGCAGCAGCTCTGAAGCAGACGAGGCCCGGGGAGAAACGATGCTGATTTATTCTAGAGAACCAAATCGCTAGAGGAAGCGAGGACGTCTCATAACAAACCCCAGGGCTCTGGGGATTCCATGCTGATCGTTACACTTTGCATCACTGCTTATTGCAGCTACAGAGCAGCAGAAGGTCCTCCTGCTCAGAAAGAAACCTGGCCCTCTGCCGTAGGAGGATCTTCAGTAGCTGGCAACAGTATAGGGCTTATGACACACTGATGCACAGTGCTGATTCCACCCAGTAGAAAGTGGTGAATAATACACACAGAGAAAAAAAGTCCCTATCACTTCCACTATCTCTGCTCTGGGGCCATGCAGCAGTGGACTTGCCAAGGGAAAAATCACATAGAGAGAAATCCCTGTTCCATTAGATTCATAGAAATAGCCAGTAGGACCATCTCATCTGACCTACTGCTTAGCCCAGAGCAGGGAATCGCACCCGTAAGCTGTGTATCAAGCCCAGGCCTTCCGTTTGAGCAACACCATCTCTTCCAGAAAGGTGCCCAGTCTGGACTTAAAGACAGCAAGGGATGACAAATCCACCAGGTCCTTAGATAAGTCCCTCCAATCCTGCGGGCTGTTAAACCACTAGAAAGCATGGAAATCACACGGCTTTGTATAACATTGCCACCTTCACTGGCTCACACCGTTCCCAGACCACGGCTACCACAGCGGCCCCTGGAAGTTCCTACCATCGTGTTGTTAACTTACACAAGCCCCGACTCTTCCTTTCATCAGAAAACCCCCACACCACAAACCAGTCTTTGGCCCAATAAGCCTGAAGTTCTCAAGGGAGTCTCCGAATTCCCGTGCCGCCAAAGAAGCCCAGAGCGCTCAGCTGAAAAAAACTGAAGCGCAAAAAGCAGCCGACACGACGGGGCCCAAACCTTTCCCGCCAAGTTCAGCTTCGGGCTCAGACCGAGCCTGGGAAATTTTAGCCTTCAGGAAAACGCGGAGCCATTATAATAAAGAGTGCTGGAATGGAGGGCGCATCTCAGGCTCAACGGTAGCGACAGCTGGCATCATCCTCAAAGCTGGTTGGCTCAGGGCAGCTCCCGGGGTGCCCAGCTGGGGAGACAGGGTGGGCTCTGCCCTGCGCCCCTGCTGAAAACATTCTATGTCACGTACACAAATGGTTCGGCTTCGCTGACACAGCGTATTTGGACCAGATCGAGCAGGGACAGGGGGCTACTGTGACTTTACAGCCAAGAGGGCAGCCTGGCACAGCAGAGACCCGTGTTCAAGATGTGGGGGGAGAGGAGCAGGAGGGGGAGGGGAGACATTCCGACCGGCTCTCGTTAGCAGCTAATTGCTTAGAGGCACAATGCAGCAAAGGGCTCGGTGAAGGGTTATTGTGCAATTGGACACAGAGCTGGGCTTACCTGAGCTTTCCCTCGGAGGGCAGCTCGTGCAGAGGGTCCTCGCAGATCAGCCTGGCTTCTCCGTCCAGCAGATAGAGGTACACGTGCTCCTAAGGGGAAGAAGGCGTCACGCTCAGTCTCGAGGGCTCGCGTCCCAGGCCTCCCCCCGGCGAGCAGACATCGCCAACAGGCCTGCAGACGCAGCTCTGAGCTAGAACATCCCCCGGCTCCGGGTAGGAAGGAGCTCAGCCGACGGGGCACCAAACGGGGACCCAGGAGATCTGGGTTCCAGTCCTGGCCAGGCAGTGGCTCTGTGTGTCGCCTTTGGACAGGTCTCTTCACCCCCGTCGTGCCTCTTCTGGGACGGAGGGGTTGTGATAAGGGCAGTGGGGGAGGCGCTCCCATGCTGTGATGGGGGGAGTTGTAAGTGGACAGATACCCGGTCTGAGCTGGGGTGAGAGATGCGGGAGGGGATTAGTGATTCTGGGCACTGATTAGTGATTCTGGCCTGACTGTCCAACGGTGGGTGCAAAACATTTCCCAGGCCCCTTTATGGGCGCTCCAAAACCATTAGTGACTTCTGAAGAACTGCTGGGCCTGGGCCTCGCCTCAGGGTGAGCCCGGTGCATCCCGAGGCATGGCAGGGCACAGTACCCAGGGTGAGCCCGGCGCATCCCACAGCATGGCAGGGGCACTGTACCCAGGGGGAGCCCAGCGCATCCCGCAGCATGGCAGGGCACCGTACCCAGGGCGAGCCCGGCGCATCCCACAGCATGGCAGGGGCACTGTACCCAGGGGGAGCCCAGCGCATCCCGCAGCATGGCAGGGCACCGTACCCAGGGCGAGCCCGGCGCATCCCACAGCATGGCAGGGGCACTGTACCCAGGGGGAGCCCAGCGCATCCCGCAGCATGGCAGGGCACCGTACCCAGGGCGAGCCCGGCGCATCCCACAGCATGGCAGGGGCACTGTACCCAGGGGGAGCCCAGCGCATCCCGCAGCATGGCAGGGCACCGTACCCAGGGCGAGCCCGGCGCATCCCACAGCATGGCAGGGGCACTGTACCCAGGGGGAGCCCAGCGCATCCCGCAGCATGGCAGGGCACCGTACCCAGGGCGAGCCCGGCGCATCCCACAGCATGGCAGGGGCACTGTACCCAGGGGGAGCCCAGCGCATCCCGCAGCATGGCAGGGCACCGTACCCAGGGCGAGCCCGGCGCATCCCACAGCATGGCAGGGGCACTGTACCCAGGGGGAGCCCAGCGCATCCCGCAGCATGGCAGGGCACCGTACCCAGGGCGAGCCCGGCGCATCCCACAGCATGGCAGGGGCACTGTACCCAGGGGGAGCCCAGCGCATCCCGCAGCATGGCAGGGCACCGTACCCAGGGCGAGCCCGGCGCATCCCACAGCATGGCAGGGGCACTGTACCCAGGGGGAGCCCAGCGCATCCCGCAGCATGGCAGGGCACCGTACCCAGGGCGAGCCCGGCGCATCCCACAGCATGGCAGGGGCACTGTACCCAGGGGGAGCCCAGCGCATCCCGCAGCATGGCAGGGCACCGTACCCAGGGCGAGCCCGGCGCATCCCACAGCATGGCAGGGGCACTGTACCCAGGGGGAGCCCAGCGCATCCCGCAGCATGGCAGGGCACCGTACCCAGGGCGAGCCCGGCGCATCCCACAGCATGGCAGGGGCACTGTACCCAGGGGGAGCCCAGCGCATCCCGCAGCATGGCAGGGCACCGTACCCAGGGCGAGCCCGGCGCATCCCACAGCATGGCAGGGGCACTGTACCCAGGGGGAGCCCAGCGCATCCCGCAGCATGGCAGGGCACCGTACCCAGGGCGAGCCCGGCGCATCCCACAGCATGGCAGGGGCACTGTACCCAGGGGGAGCCCAGCGCATCCCGCAGCATGGCAGGGCACTGAATGCACCCACAGTATTTTATAGCGTCCGGTAAGTGTTAAACCCAGTGGAATTCACAATACTCAGTACCCTCTGCCAAAGCCATGGAAGGCGACTCTAGAACCTCCCTCCACTGATGGCTTGAATCCTTCTGATTTCCTGCCTCAGTTTACCCCTGGCCCATTGAGACCAATTCATTCACAGCCAATATACTCCCCCACGACGGCATCTGCTTTAGGAGTCGGGACTTTTCGAACAATTCCCTGTCATCAGCCCTCGGGCCCGACAGCCTTGCTTCAAGCCGGTGTGTCAGGCCCTGCTCAGGCCTCATGGCTGGGGGGGGGTTTCCTGAGCCGGGGACCCCCACTGGGGCTGCAGGTGTGAAATGCACCCCCTGATTGCATCTGGATTGGGATTGCACACACACTCACTCACACCATCTGAAACCCTGCAGATCCAAAAGGAAACGGCAAGGCAAAGTTACAGCCGGCATTTCAAACAGCTCCAAGGCTGGGCAGCTGCTTCCATTTCCGTGGCTGTTCGTTAGCCTGGAAGGTCTTTTTCCATTGTCCCCCTCCCGAGAGCGACGGGCTGGGCCAAGCCCATGAGGGTGACGTTATTTCCTCCCCTGGTGCCTCATTAAACCCCTCTCTGTCATAAGCCAACACACCCTTCCCCTGGAGATTCTGGGAGGGTTTCTCAACCGCAGCCTATCCCAAGGGAGGTGCACCAGGGAGACAGATCGGGGCACCCCCGGGGGCTGCCTGGGACTCCAGAGGCGTTTCCACTTGGAACTGGTCGGTGAAAGCAAAGTACAGAACTCAGCCTCGCTCGGAGTCATGCCTGGCTCTTACCAGCCTGCCCTGTGCAGTGTGCTTATGCAACCAATGGGGTTTCTAGGGGCCCTTTACCTTGGTCTGGAATGGATTTACCGAGGGCTGGGCTGGTATCCCCATTCTACAGATGGGAAACTGAGGCTGGTGCTTTGCAAAACTTCACTGGGCACCTACTAAACACCGTTACACATTTGGCCCTTAATGATCTGCCCCCAAACCGTTGGAGTGAAGGGCAGGGCAGGGATGGGAGCCGAGCCCTGAACCGCCCAGCAGTCCCTAGAACCGAGCCCCGGGAGTTGTGCTAATTAGGGTCAGTGGAGTGAGGAAGGACGGCAGGACTTGGCCCTTACCAAGTGGACACCTTGGAGGGGCAGAAAAGCAACATAACCTCCCTCCCTGCCCCTTCCCACCTTGCTATCTGCGCTCTGCCTCCTGCGGGGCCCTCAGCTGCGCTCCTCCGCTGACCCCCTGCGGATCCCAGTCCCTGCCGGCTGGATGCACCAGGGCCACGGGCTGCACAGGTGGCAGGAGGGAGCCCCCGCCAAGCCCCTCCCCGTAATCTCCCCCGGGCACCTGGCGCATCAGTGATAATATGGCTGGGGCAAATCCCCCCTTGCGACTCCCCATCCGGGAAGAAGGAGCTTTTCATGCCACGCCGGCTGGGGAAGACGAACTCCAGCCTCCCTGGGAAACAGGGCGCCTTCGAGCAGCCGGGACGGCGAGATCTCCCCGCCAGGCTCGCCAAAGCCGAGCACACAGAGGAGTAATCGCCACAAGGCGGCACTGACGGACACCCCTGAACTCACAGCCACTGGCAGGCCCCCCAGCCCCGAACGAATGGGTGCCGTTGCCCCCTGCCGATTTCCTGGGGACCTGCAAATCCGACAGGTCCCATCTCCACTGCCCCACTCTGGTCTCCAAGGCCAGAGGGTTCCAGCGAGGGGCGTGATTTCCTAGTGGAGGCGATGGATCCGCCAGCCTGGGGAAAAGTGCCAAGCAGCCTTTCGAGGGAATGAAGCACACGCGTTTGTCAGACCCAGCCCAGCGCTTCTGGCTCAGAGACGCCTCCCGGCCCCATGCCAAAGCACACGGGTGTAGCGCGGGGGATGAGCCAACAGCAGGGGCCTGTCTGAGCAGAGTCAGGGAGGTTGATTAAACGATTGTTAATGCTCCTTCTTTGGAAGGCCAGGGGAGCATCAGGCATCAACGCAAGCCAGTGCAGCCCCGATTCTGAGACACCCTCCAAATTTACACCCCTGAGCCTGAATCTGCTCTCACTTAGGCTACGTCTACACTGGCCCCTTTTCCGAAAGGGGCATGCTAATTTGACAGGTCGTAATAGGGAAATCCGTGGGGGATTTAAATATCCCCATCGTAGTAGGGAAATCCGTGGGGGATTTAAATATCCCCCGCGGCATTTAAATAAAAATGTCCGCCGCTTTTTTCCGGCTTTTAGAAAAGCCGGAAAAGAGCGTCTACACTGGCCCCGATCCTCCGGAAAAAAGCCCTTTTCCAGAGATCTCTTATTCCTACTTCAAAGTATATTTAAATGCCGCGGGGGATATTTAAATCCCCCGCGGATTTCCCTATTACGACCTGTCAAATTAGCATGCCTCTTTCGGAAAAGGGGCCAGTGTAGACGTAGCCTTAGAGTGTTGTAAACAGCCGTCACGCCCCCGAGAGAGTTCGCCTGGGAGTTCGCACACATGAGCCGCGTTTCTCCTGCCTCTGCCGGCTGTAACGGAGCAGAATCAGACCGCGGCCGTGGAGGCCATGGCTTCAGAGCCAGCCCCGCTCGATGGTGACTGCAAGTCGCCCCCCGTCCCACCACTGGACAGATATAAAGTGGCCTGTGAGAATGGGAAGCGTGGCCTAGTGGCATCATTAATGAGCAGCTGCTTTTGTGTGAGAGGCTTTTGCGCAAAAAGGAGCTGTGTAGACGGCTCCTTTTTGCGCAAAACCCCCCTCTTGCACAAGAGCCGTTCTTCCTGAAAAAATATAGTATCATGAGCTTTTGTGGGCCAGACCCGCTTCCTCAGATGAGCAGAGTGGAGAGAAAAGGGAGGACCCTCGCGAGGGGGGGGGGGGAGGACCAGTGCTAATGAGGCTGATTAAGTGGGTGGGAAGTGTCTCATACTTGGCTTGTGATGCCAACTGGGTGTTGAAAGCAAGGAAAGCAGGTTTCCTAATGGGCTATCCAGGTGATGGCCACACTACCAGGTTATGAGGAAATCATCACTCCTGAAATAGCCCCATTCCTCTTCACAAGCAGGCATGGTTATTTCGAAATGGCAGGCGTGGCAGTTCGCCTTGTTATTTCCAAATAACTCCCCAGTGTAGACGTGCCCCTGGTTCAGGTCTTTGCTCAGGC